ACCCTTTTGATAGCGGGTGTGTGTTGAGTTGGTAGAGGACTTAGCCAGTTGGGTTCATTATGGACTTGAAGATCATCGTACTCGACGAGTTCAAGGATGAACTCGACGAGTCCAAGGCAATCTCCCAACCCATAAAGACGGACTCGACGAGTTGTTCATAGAACTCGGCGAGTCATAGTCTGGACGCATTCATATGATGAAGATGAACTCGACGAGTTCAAGGATGAACTCGGCGAGTCGGTTGAAGATGGTTCCGATGTTATGATTGAAGGTGAACTCGTCGAGTTCTTGCTAGACTCGACGAGTAGAGTCGGGGGGGTTGTATCATTTTGAAAGAATAGGGACTCGACGAGTTGGTGGACCAACTCGGCGAGTCAAGTCAACTGGATGTTGACTTTGACCAAAGTTGTCGTTGACCAAGTTTGACCTAGTTTGACTTTTGAGGGTATTGTAGTCTAAGTGTTATTTTGGGTATTGATAGTTCGGGGAGCCGAAGGATCAGCAGTTCAGGAGTTTCCGGTTAGCAACCAGAAGTGTTCAGCTAGTCTTCAGCAGTGCGAGGTGAGTCTCCTCACTGTTTGTATGGGTCTACGGCCACAATGCCGGCCCATTTAGTTTATGTATAGTAGGAAGACCCGGGGGTTAGCCCTAGGCATTATGTATGAAAGACCAGGAGGTGGCTCCTGGCACACTGCATGATATTATGTATAGTAGGAACTAAAAAATACATTAATGAGCGAAATACATAAAAATATTTAAAAAGATACATTTAAATACGTAAAAATACTTAAAAATACATTAATATATGAAAAATATACCAAAATACATAAAACAGTGTTGTAAACACCTTGACTAAGTCCCGATTAATCTTCGATTAGTCCCTAGATGCTACCTGACCAATTAGAAGACGCAAGACGATTAATCTCTACTTACAACAATGAGCGAAATAGTAGCAACCGATAAAATTTTAACATTTTGAAGAAGTTATATATATCTCAATAAAAACTATTTAAGAAATTGTTAATGTTTTATTAATCACATTAACCTATTTTGTTATAATATTACTGATATTTACGGACTTTGTTATTATATTAGTCATACTTAATTTTTTTTTTAAATCTAAAGAACTAGCAATTTCGAATCCCCGAATAATCATCACCCAGCTGATTAATCTCTTAAGCAGGATTTCCCGACTAACTAACGTGGAACGTTTTTTACAACCTTGCGTCTTCTAAATAGACAAAATTGCAAAAATGGTCCCTGTGGTTTGCCGATTTCTTTGGGTAAGGTTCAAAAAAAAGTTTATTAGCAAAAAAGGTCTTTATTTGGTGGTTTAACTGTGGTTTTGGTCTCTATTTCGTTAACTTAAACATTTGGCTGTTAACTTTTTTAAAATGACAATTTTACCCTCAAGGACCATTGTTGCAGTTATCTCTTTTTACCAAATTATAAGGACCATTTCAACGATTCTTGTTTTTAAATCTATTGAATTATTATATATTAATTCTTCTTTCTTTTTAATTTATTGAATTATTATACATTAATTTTTTTTTAATTTTAATTTTATTGGATTAATTTTTTTATGTGATTATTATATATCAGTTAATTTTATTTTTAATATATAATATTTATATATTAATAAATATTACATTATTATATTACTAATTTCTTTTAAATATTTTTTTAAAATTTTTTTATTGGATTATTTAAAAAAAAGTTATTATATTTTTTTTTATTGGATTATTACATTTAATTTATTATATTCTATATATAATAAATAATATTTTAATGGATCGTTAATTTATTTTAAATGTATAATATTAATTCTTTTTAATTTATTGGTTCTACCATAAAGTCTCCGGAATACGCAAAAGCACCGCATCTCACTGTCGAAAATCGTCGGGACCACCGCTAATCACCTTTATCGGAGGTCCGACGGAAACACTACCAACATGTTTCACCCAATGTCGCTATCCAGTAGTCACCTGCGACAACCTCTTCACAATCCGTCATAATCCTTTATATTTGCCACCAAGTTGATCGTTTTCCACTAGAACCATAACGATTTGAACCACCAAGAAGTCTAACCCAAACACCCCTGACAGTTCCCCCATTTGTTGCCTTTGACCAGCTTACGCCACAAAATCATACTACCTGGTCAATTCCTCAATTCGTTGGTTTCCACAACCCAGACACAATGTAACATCCCGATTCCCAGGTATGAGAATTTTTATGTAAAAGGAAAATTTTCCTTATAACTCGTCAAGTTGATGGCCTCAACTCGACGTGTTGAAAGTTTTTGGGTCGTGGATCTTTTTGGACCAACTCGGCAAGTTGGAGAGGAAAACCCGACGAGTTGGTGGCTGAATATGAAAACCCTAATTTTTAGGGTGTCGCACCCTATCTAAAGGCCTTAAGTCCCATTAATGGCCTCCCGAATCGCTTCCTCTGTCCAGAAACCCTAGAATTCATGCATCTTACCCCAAGTTGAGTGTGTGACCTTAAAAGTTGCTTCTTTGGTCTCATTTTGTAGAAAGAGCTTGAAGTTGGTGGTGCCTAGCTTGAAGGGAGAGCTATAGATCCAGAATCTCCTTGAGTTTAGCTACTCCTTGAGTTTAGTTACTCTTTTGAAGTTGAGGACCTGGGGTATTCCAACCCGATGGTTGATTGGACCCATAGTATGTTGTTTTGTATATGTGCTATTATTTGTATGTGGGTACTTTGTGGGAACTCACTAAGCTTCGTGCTTACATTTTGGTTTACGGTTTCAGGTACTTCAGTAGATTGTGGCAAGGTGAAGGCTTGATCGTACACATCCTCGTGTTTTGGGGACTTATGATTTCTGGGATACTCTGATAAAAAAAATGTTTTGAAAACTATGTTGTAAATGACTCTGATTTTGAATAATGTTTTGGATACAATGGTTTCGTAAACACTTTTTAGAGAAAGGGTTGTTTTGAAAAAGTTTAAATTTAATTGAAATTTTATGGATGTTACACACAACCTTATAACATCGAAGCTTCAAGCCTGTACTACTTGAAAAGATCTAACGGTGGATCTGGTGGTTTGAAAACCCTATATCTAACATTATCGCCATTGGCGACAGTGTAGGTAGTCAATTCTTGTAGTTTTGGTTGAGAATGATAGATTATAGGCAACGATCGACGATTTCCGACAAGATGATGTGGCGGTGCAAGGTGGTAGAAAGCAACGAATGGAGGAACTGACCAAGGGTGTTTGGATCGGACCTCCTGGTGGTTAACACAGTATTGGTTGTAACAAAAAACGACCGACTTAGTGGCATATCCGGAGGATTCCGACGAAATGTGAACAGGATGGTAGTGTTTCCATCGGAAATTCGATGAAGGTGATTGGCGGTGGTCCTGATGATTTTTAACGATGGGGTGCGGCGCTTTTACGCATTTTAATGACTTTGTGGTGGAACCAATATTAAAAAGAATTAATATTACACATTAAAACTAAATTTATAATCCAATAAAAAAAATGAATGGCCTTTTTATTTATTCTTATGGTAAATTTAATCTAATAAAAAAGAAATTAAAAAAATAATCCAATAAAAAAAATAAAAAAAGAATTAATTAAAAGAAATTAATAATATAATATTATAATATTTATTTATATATGAATATTATATATTAAAAATAAAATTAATTAATATATAATAATCAATTAAAAAATAATCCAATAAAAATGAAATTAAAAAAAGAATTAATGTATTATAATTTAATAAAATTAAAAAGAAGAAGAATTAATGTATAATATTTCAATAAAATAAAAAATAAAATTGCAAAAATGGTCCTTGTGGTTTGGTAAAAAGAGACAACTGCAGAAATGGTCTCTAAAGGTAAAATTGTCATTTTAAAAAGTTAACAGCCAGATGTTAAAGTAACGAAATAGGGACTTAAACCACAGCTAAACCATCAAATAAGGACATTTGTTGCTAATAAACTTTTTTTTGGACCTTACCCAAAGAAATCGGCAAACCACAGGACCATTTTTTGCAATTTTGTCCATATAAATATAAAAACATACGCGTATATATTATATACAAATTCTGAGAAAATTTATAGAAAAATCTCATTATTTTGAGAAAATTCACGATTTAGTCTCATGACCTATTGAAAATGTAAAAAAGGTTAAAGTGAAAATTTTTGTCGGTTTCTTGGCTTTTCATTAAAACAAATGGGATTAAATCGTTAGTTTTTCCAAAATAATAAAAACTTTTATGAGATTTTCCTATAAAAAACTTTATGATTTTAGAATTATTTTTTTTAAACTCCTTTTTATTTTCAAAAAATACCCTTAGGGGGTGTTTGATACAGGGAAATAGAATTGCAATGGAGAATGGAAATGCAGAGAAAGAGAATTAAGTTAGAGAAAAAGAATCAATTCCACTGTTTGGTAGAATAAAGAATGTGCTAGAGAAATGCTTTTGAAAATCATTTCTCTTGTTTGGTTGTATTAAACAATGAAATGGAAATAAGATTTTACCATGTTTATTCACTTTCAAACAACAATTTTGCTTTTAAAAATGTATTAACCGTTAACAAAATAACATATTAGACATAAATTAATGGTTTTTATAATAAACATTTTGAATCCTACTTTAAAGATAGTGTCGTTTACATGCTTTCCAGGTGTATTCAATTTTTTTGCTTGATCATCCATAATATTTCTTCGCTTAAGCCACGTGTTAAAGATTGGCTTGGTCATTTACTTTGACCATCCTATATATTGATAAATCGTTGTAGAAATATGTCTTCAGGTGAAGATTAAGAATGGGAAGACTAGAAGAACACTCTATCACTGCTTTAATTTTATTTCTAGCTTTATCACTTCCTAAATTTTGTTTCTTGTTGGCGCAAAAATCGAACGCAAAATAAAAAATATCATTGAATGTGAGGTTTAGGGATCGAACTGTGGACAACTTGGTTGGTTACGCAATTCTCCGCTTTTTTTTTTTAATTTCTCGGAGGCCTTCACATCTTGTTTCCCATCTTTTCCCTACAAATAATAGAGAATAAAAATGATGGAAATGGAATTCATTTTTTTCTCTTTTCTCTATATTTTAGGACAAAACAAACAAGGGAAATATAAATAATTACAATTCTCACCTCTTATTTCCCTGTACCAAACACCCCTTATATTCTTTCATTTTTGGTTTTACCAATTTTAACATGTTGATCGGTAATTTTTTGTAAATTGACAAAAAAAAAATTATATAAAATTTCTATTACACAACTTTTTGCTTGTCTCATACTCATCGGAATCACATGATTTTGTTTACGGTGCTCTTAATGGATTTCAATATTTTTTTTGGCAAAGTGAAAATGGACAATATTTTTTTGGTCAAAATGAAAATAGACTTATTAAGGTAATTAACTTTTCGGTTTGTTCACATCTGGGTAACTAACTATCTTTTTTTGTACACATCTAGTAACAAACTTTTTAGAAATGTTCACATATGACCATTATGACCGGCTGTAGCAGGTTACATCCGGTCATAACGGGTCAAAATGGTCATATGTGAACACTTCCAAAAAGTTCGTTACCTAGATGTGTACAAAAAAGAGATAGCTACCTAGATGTGAACTAACCGTAAAGGTAAGAGTAAATTAAACGAATGGTCCATGTGGTTTGGGTAATTTGTGCGTTTGGTCTCTAATTTCTTTTTTAACTCGAATGATACCTACTGTTTATTTTTGTTTTACGTTTGGTTTCTGTTTTACCTCAAAAGACTATTGTGCTCTTTTTAATTAATTTTTTTATTTATGTATTTAGTTTTTATATATTTAAAAAAAAATAGACCCCACGTATCTGTATCTCCTCACCCTAAACCTAAAATCACATATGAGAATTTTAAGTTAGGTCCCACCAGTCACCATCTCATCTCTCATCTTCCTCAACTTCTATTTCTTTTCCATCTTTAGTGACATCGACGTCTTCACCATCCTTTCTTTTTTCAATTCTTCAACTCCGACGAGCCAACACCACAGCCCTTCTATTGGGTTGTGGTGGTGGAAAAAAATTCAATGAAGAGCCAGTGGGTTGTGGGGTGAGGAGATATATATATGTGAGGTTTATTAAGTTTTTTAAATATATAAAAAAAATAAATAGATAAATAAGAAAATTAATTAAAAAATAAATTAAAAAGAGCACAATAATCTTTTGATGTAAGATAAGGGTCAAACGCATAACAAAAATAAACAATAAGGGTGATCCAAGTTAAAAAATAAGTCAAGGATCAAACACACAAATTACCCAAACTATAGGGACCGTTCATATATGACCATACATATCTTTTCGGTTTGTTCAAATCTAGATAGCTATTTTTTTTGTACACATCTAGGTAATGAAGTTTTTGAAAATATTCACATATGATTGTTATGACCGGGATGTAACATGCTACAACCGGTCATATTAATCATATATGTACACTCCAAAAAGTTTATTACCTAGATGTGTATAAAAAAGATAGTTATCCAAATATGAATAAACCGAAAAGTTAATTAATTTAATAGTTATGGATCTCTCGTCATTTCTTCGTGAACCGTTCGGCGAAAAATTTGTTTGTTTTATTAATGAACGAACATGAACATAAACAAACAAATATAAATAATGTTCTCGTTCGTTCAAATATGTTTCATGAACGTTCGTTAAATCAGGTTTCTTTTTACTTTCATATATGTTCAATTATGTTTAATTATACGATTTGTTTATATTCGTTTGTTTATTAAGCATTCGAAATAAATAAAGGATGCCCACGCCTAACGATCGCTTTAAAAAAAATGTGACCATTCTCAAAATGAATATCCTCTTTTGGTTGTTAACTCTTTTTAAAAACAGAAATGCTTATCACTACTAAACATCAAATATCAATCACTTCACTGTAGCCCTTTACCAATGCAAATAATTCTTTTTCTTTTCTTTAATCTCCTCATGAATTAACAACCAAAATCCAACAAAAGCAAGACCTCTACCCAAAAACAACTAAAATTTGCGTTACACAAACCTTCACACTCACTCCTTATTCAAACCAAGGCCTTTCAACAAAAAAGACCAATCAGTTTCCTCTCCCCACCAAACACCACCATGAAAATTCAACAAACAAAACTAAACCATATTCTCCTCTTCAAATTCCCCTCTTCAAAATCCCCATAAAAAAAAAGCAACAGTTTTCAGTACCTGTAAGTAAGAGGCTTGTATGGACCTTCAACTGGGACATTGATGTAATCAGCTTGATCTTTGCTAAGAATTGTCAACTTAGCTCCAAGCTTTGCAAGATGAAGTGCAGCAACCTTCTCATCAAGATGCTTAGGTAGAACATAGACCTCCTTCTTGTACTTTCCGGTGGTTCTCTCCTTCCACAACTCAAGCTGAGCGATAACCTGGTTGGTGAAAGAGCATGACATCACGAAACTAGGGTGGCCTGTGGCGCAACCCAAGTTCATGAGACGACCTTCAGCCAAGATGATGATTCCGGTCTTGGTTTCAGGGAAGACCCACCTGTCAGTTTGTGGTTTGATGGTGATGCGCTTCACACCTGGGTAGGTTTCAAGTCCGAGCATGTCGATTTCATTGTCGAAATGGCCGATGTTGCAGACGATGGCGTTGTTCTTCATCTTCCTCATGTCGGAGACCATGATGATGTCTTTGTTTCCGGTGGTGGTGACGAAGATGTCGGCGTCGGAGACGACGTCTTCCAAGGGGAGGACTTGGAGACCTTCCATGGTGGCTTGGAGGGCGCAGATTGGGTCGATTTCTGTCACGATGACACGTGCTCCGGCTTGCTTCATTGCGGCGGCGCAACCCTTTCCGACGTCTCCGTATCCGCAGACGACTGCGACCTTTCCGGCGATCATGACATCGGTGGCTCTCATCAAACCGTCGGGGAGTGAGTGACGGCATCCGTACAAGTTGTCGAACTGCGAACAGGTTTCAAGTTAGCATTGAATTCAGATCCATAAAATTGCTAATGATTCAGTCATAAGTGAACAATCGTTATCAGATCCGAATTACAATCACAGCATTATAACAGATCTAAAAACCTAAAACCCTATTAGTTTAGATCTAGGTGATGATCCACAAGCATTAGAACAAATAAGACGGGATCTATAGATGAATTACGATGAACATACCTTGCTCTTGGTGACAGAGTCATTGACATTAATGGCAGGGAAAAGCAGAGTACCATTGGCTTGCATCTGGTACAACCTCTTAACACCAGTGGTGGTTTCCTCAGACACACCAACCAACCTATCCTTCATCTTGTGGTACTTCTTGGGGTCGACTGCTAGACCTTCCTTAATGATCGACAACACGATCTGGAACTCAGCGTTGTCGGTGGAAGTAGGATCGGGCAATTTTCCGGTCTTCTCAAACTCCTCCTCAGCCTTGACTCCCTCGTGAATCAATAGAGTCGCGTCACCACCATCGTCAACGATCAAATCAGGACCACCTCCAGGACCCCAATCTAGAGCACGCTCCGTGCACCACCAGTACTCCTGTAGAGTTTCCCCCTTCCAGGCGAACACGGCAGCGGAATCACGGGCGATGGCGGAGGCGGCATGGTCTTGAGTTGAGAAAATGTTGCAGGAGCACCATCTAACCTCAGCACCCAAAGCGGTGAGAGTTTCGATGAGGACACCGGTCTGGATTGTCATGTGGAGGGAGCCGGTGATTCTGGCACCCTTGAAAGGCTGAGAAGGACCGAATTCCGTCCTGCAAGACATGAGACCGGGCATTTCAACTTCGGCTAGTTCGAGTTCCAGGCGGCCGAAGTCGGCCAAGGACATGTCCTTGACTTTGTACTCGCGGCCGGTGGAGGTTTTCTCGACGGTGAGAGCCATGGTTAATGAGGGTTTGTAGATCGGATCTTGGAGGCTCTCAGAGAAAGGGTGGGTAAGGCAAGAAGCAGAGTTGGGGAATGGAGGGTTATAAATAGGGTTTAAATGACAGAGATTAACGGTCCAGATCTCATCTATGAGGATTTTTTTAGATTAACGGTCGTAAGATTGGGTCCCACCTAGCTAAAAAAATTATATCTTCTCTAAGAAATCATTTCCTTCACGCTTATTTAGAACTAGATATTTCATTTCCTTGTAAATTATACATGAAGGACTAAGGGTGAAGCAATTTAGTTTTAGACCATTTTTATACCGAAATAATTTGTAGTTAAAATATGGTAAAATTTGACCGGAAGGGTACAAATTATTATTTCTCGTGTTTTAAAAGTTATTATCTAGAAAGTGAAGGGGTGACCCGTTGAACCCCTTCGTAATCATGAGGTTGTATGTAACAAGTCATTAAAATATGTCATCTTACCAGTCACGTCGGATGTCACCTAACACTTGTATAATTGATCTACTTCACCCTTCCTTTACAATCTAAATAACATATTCTACTGTCGTTTTCATCTTCCTCTTTCTTCTATTGTAATCCAACTAAAAATCACTCAAATGGTCATATACATGAAGATCAATATTCATTTTGTTGGTTTTTTTATGAGGTACCCCGTGATTAGTTACTCAGATGAAGCCGGAGCAGAGGTTTGAGGATGTCGATTTTGGTGGAATGGAGAAGAACGAATTTGTGGTGTTCGTCGGAAGATTCGCGAATGAGAAATGTGTGAATGTGTATTTTTGCATGCTCGATATTGAGTTTCCTGATGGATTGATGATAATAGCTAATAAAAGAGACTAGCAGAAGTTCATCGAAGTAGGGTATACTTGTGGTTGTGTAGTTCCTGTACACATGGATCATCTTGGTGTCAATGTTTATCAATGGATTCTTGATGAGGAAGCTGAAGTATGCATTCATGAAGACAAGTAGTCTACTTTAGGTGAAGTTAATGAAGAAGTGCATGGTGAGGGGGCTATTGAGATTGACAAAGATGAATTGCAAGGTACTATTGACGCTGACATTGAACATGTTGATTGCATTAGACTGAACAAGACCATACATGATGTGTTTTTGAGCCAGATATGCCCCAATCTGCAACCAACCCATGGCAGTCCACCTCATGAGGATCCATATGTTTAGAGGGATGACAATGAAACAATACTTGAGGAAGTAACAAGTTTTAATGAAAATGTACACTGGAAAAAGCAGAAACATGTGTTAGGTATGAGATTTGAAAGTCCTAAACAGTTAAAACATATATTGTGTAATTATATTTGTTGCTAATGGTTATCAGTTGTGCTACAAAAAAAATTAATAGTATGAGACTTTTAGTTAAATGTTGTTATAGGCAATGCAAGTTTAGACTATGGGCTTCATGGATGAGTGAAGAACATTCTTTCTAGATTAAGTCTCTTATATATGAGCATAATTGTGCAAGAAATTTCAATATGGGATCAATTGTTAATTATGCATGGACTGGCACCCATTTCACAACACGATTCTTACAAAAACAAAAAATGAGTGTTATGCTGCTTAAGGAAAAAGTTAAACAAGCTTTTGGAATTAATATGAGTATGGAGTAGTGTAGGAGAGCTAGGAAACATGCAATTCAGTTAATTGAAGGCAAACTACTTGAGCACTATGCAAAGCTTTGGTCATATGGTGAGGAGATAAGAAGAAAAAACCCATGATTAACAGTCAAAATGGATGTCAATAGTATGCCATATGTGAAGACATATTTTAGTAAATTCTACATAGGTTTTAAGGGGGCTGAAGCAAGGTTGGAGAGGCAGTTTTAGGAGAGTAATAAACCTGGATGGTTGTTTCTTAAAGGGATGTAACGACCCAATTTTACAAAGAAAATTTTTATTATATTTTTTTCCTTTTAAAACCAAAGCCAATCCCCTAAACCATAAAATCCCAAAACATTTATTTTCAAATCAACATTCATTACTTCATTGTTTTCCTTTTTAAAACATCAAAGGGTCCCAAACACATCAAAAGAGAGATAGAGTGCACGACACGTCATCACGCCTTGCCCTTGCCCTTAGGCTCAGAAGTACCTGAAACAAATCAACAACCTGTAAGCGAAATGCTTAGTGAGTTTCCCAGAGCATACCACACACATTCGCATACATATATCCTGATAGCTAAAAAATAAGCTATAAACATGCCACAGAAACTATGCAATACGATTCAACAAGAGTGTCATGGGCTACCCTACATGGTCTTTACCTAGGACCGCCATGGGCTACCCCACATGGTCTTACATCCAATGTCATGGGCTACCCCACATGGTCTTTACCTAGGACTGCCATGGGCTACCCCACATGGTCTTATATCCAATGCCACGGGCTCCCCCCGGGGTCTTCCATACCAACATAATATCACACAACATATCAATTCATAAATGAATAACACACACATAACATGATCACATAATGGGCCGGCCTTGGTGCCGTAGACCCATAGGTATGGTGAGAAGACTCACCTCCGTCCAATGAATACAATTACTGCCCTCCCAATAATCCGCAACCTACCAAGCTGAATAATAACAATAATATATAATCAATGATAAGACCTTAAATTACCCAAGGAAAGGCCCAACCTTCAAACTCTACCCCCAAGGCCCAATTACCCCTTTCTTGCAAATTGGACCCCAAAATCCAAGTCCAATATCCTTAATGGGCCCCTTGGCCCAATAAGGCCCAACCAATAAGTCCTTGGCCCAAACAGATGAAAAGGCCTCAATCTTACAGAGTCCAAACAAGCTCATCAGCTAAATGAGGCCCAAAGGCCCAAAACAGATTAGGGCCCATCTGAGCTGCGTATGCCCAGCGTACCTCCCTGGTACGCGCAGCGTACTGAGGGTCTAGTGACTACGCGCTGCGTACAGACAGTTACGCCCAACGTACAATCGTATTAAGCACTTTCCCATTAAGTGCTTAATGCTCGAATCTCTCACGTCCAAAAGCTAGATCTAAGATTGAAAAGATGTCCCAAGGCATAAAGTTGGCAACTTTATGCCCTTGCATGTCTCATACACTCCCAATCACCCCATTAAGACCTTTTCAAGGTCTTTTACCCAAGCATGAGGTCACAACTCTCATCAAGCTTCCATTTTTACTTCTAAATGACCAGGGGACCTCAGATCTGACTTTCATATCAAAAGGGAAGGCTTAACTCAACAAAAGAGGTCCAAAGTTCATAAAAGGGACAAACCACCGAAACCCTAGCTAGATCTAAAGATTAGAAAGGAAAGATGCAAGCTTTTTACCTCCAGAAGCTTTGCAAGATGCTTTTGGTGCAGGATCTTGAAGCACCCTCTTGATCCACGCTTGCTTGACCACCCCTTCTTCTTGAAATACACACAAAAAGGCCACAAATGCACTCGTTAAGGCCTAAGAATGATCTCACAAGGTTTCCAGGAGTATATGGACGTTCTAGGGCTGTGGAGGCTCTCTAGGGTTTAGTCCAAGGGACTTAAAGTTGTTTAAATAGGCCTCAAGTCCGGAAAAATTAGGGTTTGCGTCCCTGGCGCGTACGCCCCGCGTAACTCAAGGTACGCCTGACGTACCCTGAATTCCCCGCGACCATTTTTATGCGGTACGCTAAGCGTACACTTAAGTACGCCCAACGTACTTAAGGGACCAATTATGCAAACTTATCATTTCTTAGGGTTTCAGGACATACCAGAATTTTGGATGTTACAAGGGAAATCTCTAGAAAAGTCCTAAAATTTTACCTTAATTTACGAAAAAGTCCCAAACTAAATTTTGTTTACAAAAAAGCATGAATTACCGGTAAAAATGGCGATTTGACCCCTTTTTTCCGGTTTACCGGTTTTATTACTTACCTGTTTCACTAAAGTCCCATTATTTTACCCTAATTTGCGAATAAGTCCCAAAATAAAATTTACTGATGCTTTGGCCCTTTTCTCTATGTAACATACATTTACCGGTTTCATTGCTGACCCGGACACCTAGTCATTAAATGAGATGATGAGATAGATATGTTGAGTTATATAATGTTATGTTTAGCATAAAACTTGATATCCTGATGTATTGTATATCTTTTTGGAACATAAAATGTATCCAACGAATACTACTATAATCACAAAAACTAACAACGACTGCATTATTTTTTACGTTTATAAGAAATATCAAATTATCTATCTAATCTTATGTAACCCAATATATTCATCTCATCAGACATCAACTCATTTCCTGCCCTTTTTTCTTGGAAACACACATTTTATTGGTTTCATTGCTGACGTAGATACATAATCATAAATGAGCCGATGAGATGGGTATCGGATGGGTATCAAATTTTACAGTAAATGTGACATTATATAACCCATCGTATTCATCTTATCAGCTAATTTAATGACTAGGTGTCTAAGTCAGCAATGAAACCGATAAAATGTATGTTACATGAAGAAAAGGGTCAAATAATCAGTAAATTTTATTTTGGGACTTATTCGCAAATTAAGGTAAAATAATGGGACTTTAGTGAAACATGTAAGTAATAAAACCGGTAAACCGGAAAAAATGGGTCAAATAGCCTTTTTACCGGTAATTCATGCTTTTTCGTAAACAAATTTTAGTTTGGGACTTTTTCGTAAATTAGGGTAAAATTTTAGGACTTTTCTGGAGATTTCCCTTTCTTAAAGGGTTTATGTAGGGGAGAGTTAATATGTGTCGTAGGAAGGGATGCTAACAATCATATTTCCCCAATTGCATGGGCAGTTGTTTGTGTGAAAAACAAAGAGAATTGGAAATTGTAACGTCCTGTTCCGAATCGTTTCTTAATGCGGGGTGGTGACCTGAAGACCGGGTATCATCAGGCTTAGGTCCTTTGAGGAAAAGAGATTTAGACCAATTTGGGTGATCAGGTTAATTATTGATTAAGATTGTATTTTTGTTAGTTGGCGCGAGGTTATCCGGTGCAGTGGTCCGAGCAGTTATTTGGTTATCAACGGATTGAGGTGAGTTTCCTCACTGGGTTTAGTGGGTCTAAGGCACCAATGCCAACCCATGATCTGTTATGCTAGAATATTATATGTATGTGTGACTCGTGT